TGATATTTCGAAAAGTGAATTAATTAAAACTACCACATATGTGCCATCAGGCATTTTGCCATATGCCCTCAGTAATTTGGATGCAATGAATGCTGCTGCTGCAGAGGGGAAATGTTGGAATGTCTGTTTTTATGGTGTTGTTGAGAGCTCAGCTAACTCTGAACCCTGACTCTGTACTACAGAGTTATAAATTTCCAGATGGGTATTGTTCTGACTTGGTTTAAAGACCTAGCTTTGTGCGACGAAGATATTCGCACTGAAGCTTTGAGGTTCGGACCTCACCCATTTTTGCGTCAAGTACTCGCACATGTATATGTGCGATATGATTGTACGACGCTTTTTACCGGAATTGACATGTCCGGCGAATATGCTCACGTAGACAGCGAAATGCCATATATGGACATGTTCGTACTTATGTCTATAGTCATGAATACGAATAAGCGTGTTGGTTCGCAAACCAAAGCGAACGCGCTGGTCTCAAGCGTCACCGAGCTGCTCGGGGTTGATGTGACGAAAATTGCGAGGCAAGAAGTCCTCTGCGCTTTAGAAGATGTCAACGGAATCACTTCAAATCTCAAGGATTAAATTGTGCAGGCCGTGCTGGATATGTCTAAGTCCCATGCCACCAAAAAAAAGCTGCTATACCGCTGTTTTACGAATGATGTCCAGCTACGATCTTCGTGTTTATTCCGAAAAAATCAGAAACCCTAGCTCCCCAGTTTGCACTCAATATCTGTTTGATCGCAGAGTCTAGGTAGTGTGTTAATGTCCAATCTTTCTGCAGGTTTTCCAAGGTGAGCGTGTCTCGTGTAAGGACAACCACAAGCTGGGCGAGTTTAAACTTCGCGACATCGCGTCGTCCTACCATACCACATGATGGCAACTAGCCTAATGGTCATACAGCAAAATTACCCCGAGTTGGTTCTGACGATGTCCATGTCCAACAGCCCTCATGTTCATCCTCATGCGCTGGCGGCAAAGAACAGAATATGTCAAAACAATCTAATGTTGACATATATAACTTTCAATCCAGAAATAACACCAGCGGGGTACGATGTGTTCTATGCCGACATCGGTGGCAATTGGTTGGACCCCATCAAACACCAGAGAGCCAATTCGCACTGCTGTACCCCAATCCTTGGGGCTGACGATGCTGAGCGACAATCTAGCAGGAGCAATGACATGTATGAACTGACAAGACCGATCAAAGAAAGATGGGCCAAGGTCTTTGCGGGGACCAGTTCCCTAACGAAGATGATGATGATGGATAGATAGGCTACGTTGTGAAAACAAAGGCCAGGACTGCAAGATCAAGGCAATGTATTTACTTTTCATACATTCGGCCTATGGTATGTCCACCACTGACATAGCGGACTGTTTCGACGCGCATGGCGAGTTAAAAGGATACACGTCCATGGCCTTCGACGTCAACATGTTCCTGAAGCCCAAGAGACCCAAACCCTGATGACGAGGAGCTGACTCTTAGCAGAGGTCCCGGCGCAGTAAAGAAGTGACCCCTCCCTTCCTGTGCTGTGCGTGTTCCTCCCGAAAAGGGGCTTATAAACCACTGCAAGACCCACCGTGAGCCAGGCCTGTCCTACATAGCCCAGGCCGTGCAGGCGAACGCCCGGATCTTGTCAACAGAAGAGGAGGCGGCAGTGGGACCTGCCCCAACCAGCGGCCTCGTAATTCTCCTCAACTTTTGTGGCTTCATTAAGCTGGGGCCAGAGCTTCAGCTAGAGCAGTACTAGAGACGACCGCCAAAGTGCCTAGTGTAAAGTTCTAAGTTAACCCGAACATGGTGCCCCCGGGGCACCCTTAGGACCTCACCCCGATTTTTTTCCGATTTTTACAGACGTCCGCCTGGGCTCAGGGACTTGGAGAAGTCGCGGAGACGACGCCTG